TGTCATGCTACTCTAGCCTACAAACCCAATATAGGTCAATACTCTATGTGCTCGTTTCTATGAAATAAAATCAGCATATGTTATAAGAAAGCTCAACTGAAACTAATCTCAAAAAAATAAAAATAAAAATAAAAATAAATAAATACCCTGTATTTTAGGTCCTTGAGAGTATCAACCACTTTGGCACTACTGCTAACTTGACATGAATTTCATTGGATTTAGCAGGATCATCCCATAGATTATAGGCACAGATCATTTCCTCTAATTTGATTCGTCTAGCTTCTTCAAATTCGAGGGCAGTTGGTGCTAACATCTCTGCACAGAGAATTACATCTTCAATATTTTCAATGAAAACAAACCTAAACCATTTGAATTAACATATCCAATTTCAAGTGAGAAAGGATGAAGAAGATGTAAGAGATTTGAAAAGATAAACAACAGCTGTAAAAGAATTTGTTAAAACTCGTAGCTTATTCTCAAGAACAATCGTTTTGAAAACACAATATCTTAAAATAAATCACTAACTCAACTTTGATTTGAAAACTCTGATCCTCTAGGCAAGTCTAAAGTCTCAACAATGGGAACTGGGAAATACATTACATTAAAAACACCAAATGTTCCTTGAGAATTAGAGAATTGTAATGCATCAAATTTCAATTTCTCTAAAACGTAACATCCAAGGTGCTACAAAACTAAATGCCAACATTTAGACATCTCTCTAGTTTGCACTCTCATTTCTTCAGTAAAGATAATTCTTTGTGATATTAAGTCGAATAGTTGATGCTTATTAGCATATGAAATCCCAAATCAATTCAAAAATAAGACACCCATTTTGAACTATAGTACCAAGAAAGCATGATAAACCCAAGTACATGAAAATGGAGAGAAAAAAAAAGGCAAAGAAGACAAACCAAGTTGGTTATACACCTTGTTCTTATCATCAGTAGAATGAGAAGCTCGAACTGTCAAATGTAAAAATTGAGTCTTTGACTGAAGTAACCTATAGAATAATTTCTTGAATTACAATCTAAAGATAAAACCATAAACACAAAGAAAGTCTAATATATGAAATTAGAGACAAGAATTCTAAAACAAAGAATGGTACCTTTAGACATATCATTACTCAATACAATGTAGATTCCTTTGACACATTCATCATCTTCATTTGTACATATACAGAATTAATAAGACTGGAATGTTCTGTAAATAAAAAAATAAATAAAAGAAATAATAAAAATAGATAAGATTCCAAGCATGTGGGATCTTTATCTTTTCCTCAGACCAAATGCCAAAAAGGAGATCGATTGTTGTAATTTCCCCACCATCACCTGCCATTTTGGGATTACATTTCAATAATCCAAAAATCTTTGTAATTTTGAATGCATAAAGAATCACAAAGTTGATAAGAAAGCAACAAAAATTTACAGAAGACATTTCAATACTTACATGTTCGGCCAAAAGAAGCATTTCAATATTATCACCCAGTTTTGGTTGCCAAAAATTCTTCTGCTTCCGAAGCCTAATTACTCTAACCTTTATCCTCCATTGCTCTTTAGAAGGATTAAGACGTTTAATAAAATCAAACATATTAGCCATTAAGATCTGTATACCTTCTGTGATACTAAAAAGAGAGACGGGTATAACATTATATATGAATATAGAAGAAACCCTTCAAATGATCAATATTTATTAAATAGATTATAAAGAAGAATTAGGAAAATAAAAGTGGCAGAATTTGAAAAATAAAATTGGAAGAATTTGAAATCAGCAGGTGAATGTAAATTTCCAATGCATTAGAAATATAAGACAAAAGTGACGCCTTAAGTGAGGCTTTTGATTGACAGAATAGAAAAACCAATAGTTTTATTGATATGCAGCAGACAAAAAATTTTGGAAATATGCCAGACAATAAATAGTGAAATGCATTCGCCAAATAGGAAAGAGTAAGATAACCAAGGAAGATACACGGGCATTTTTTAGATGTACCAAAAGAAAAGATGAGTTGAACAAATCAATATTATACTGAAGTTAAAATAGCAGCACATAACATAAATCCAGAAAACATCAAAACCAACCTTACGATAGAAGCTGGGTAAGAAATCAATAAAATGCAATAAATCAAAAAAGATTAAAGGGGAAAAAAAGAGCAAAACTTACTTGAATGAGATTGAACTCGATTTGGGCTTGATCGACCTTGACAAAGTTGGCGTCTCAGGCCTTGAGCGTCCACGGAAGCAACACGATCGTTAGCCTTGGGAGGCTAAACACTAAGGTGGAAGGGATCGGGTAGCGATTTTGGAAGTCAGGTTGGGGTTTGATGATTGAAGACAAAGACTGATGCCAAGCCATGGACTTTGTAGATACTTAGGTTTAAGAGATGGATAAGATGATTTGGGTTTCGATTTGTTTCTTGATTGAGAGGCCACGGCACATGTTGAATAGACTAGAGAAGTAGGTGACATGCAAACACCCGACGGCAGTGGGTTCCAGCATTGAAATGGTTCAGTGACCATGGCTTCATTGAGAAGGAGGTCCGGCAACGATGATGAAGAAATGGGATTTCAATTTCTTTTTACTAGAGAAAGAGGTGGCATAAAAACACCCGGCGGCAATGGGTTCCAGCATCGAAATGGTTCAACGGCCATGGCTTCATTGAGAGGAAGGTCTGACAACGATGATGAAGAAAAGGGATTTCAAAATTTTTTTTTTTTGGAGGGAAGAACCTGGAGTTTATCTAGGAATTCTAACTTAAAATAAAATGC